CAGCTGAAGGTGATAAAGCGTTATAAATTTCTGAATACCAAAAGTGAGGACCTCCTAATTTCATTGTAGGATTTAACAATACAGCAACACCAAAAATAGGGGGGATAGGGAAAACCGACATAATTTTATCCATTGTAAGCAAGCCTATAACGTTAGTGTTACTAGAAGCGTTATCCATTGAAACCGACATAATTTTATCTCTAATGCAAAAATATCTACAAATATCTGCAACTGTGTTAGCAATAAACTTATATGTGTGGCGTGAATTAATTATTCTATAAGCAATAATGCGCTTTTGCATTATCCACTCCTCATTTATCCAATGACTTGTAACAGTTAGATAATCACAGTCATTACCACTTCTACCAATATCAGTAGTAATAGCAATGCGACAATCTATATGAGTAAATAAATAGCGCAAATATTGTTCATATTCATGTTTATATTTATAAATATCGCTCTTTACGGTTGCGCGAGGCCATCCTTTATAAGTAGGATTAAAAACTCTTCTAATATANACTTCTACCAATATCAGTAGTAATAGCAATGCGACAATCTATATGAGTAAATAAATAGCGCAAATATTGTTCATATTCATGTTTATATTTATAAATATCGCTCTTTACGGTTGCGCGAGGCCATCCTTTATAAGTATGATTAAAAACTCTTCTAATATAATGCACAAAATGAGGGTTAGAAGGAAAACTATAGGGTAAGCACATAACAGTAACCATTTTTGCCAATTCTTCACGATCTTTATTTGGATCATAATATAAAATGTCATCGGTAACAGTGTTAATTCCCGGTTGAACTAGATTTGAACCTGTACTAGGGTTAATCGTAGTATCTACACTTGTCCCCTCTTGTGCAACTTTCATTTGTAAAAATCTAACTTTATTTCTAGGGTGTTTCAATATGTGTCTAGTTAAACTACCCGTACCGCTATGGTCTCCAGTAAATTTATGAACTAGTTGAGACCCAAGTTTTACACTTAGCCTTATTTTGTTCTCTGAGTTGAGTAAAAAAGTGTCAAACAAGAGATGTTTCAGGTCGTTTAGCAGGTTGTCTATTAAAAGTAGGGGTTATTACAGGAAGGGCAGGCGAGACATCATTTGGGTTATTAACAGGACTAGTAGGTGTATCATCTAAATCCGGTTGCGTTTCATCTAAATCATCATTTTCATCATCATTTTCAAAGATAGTTTCATTAGGATAAAGAGCATTCATAACTTCTTCATTTAATTGTTGACCTGGTGCAACATCATGGCAAAATTGACTATCGGAAAATTGAAAACAAGGGTTATCACTATCAAGAATAACAGGTGGAGGAGGACGGGTAACGGGTCTGGGTCGGGGAGCCGGGGGAAGAGTATGGCTACTAGATTCACCAATTTTAGATTTTCCCTTAACGTTACCACCAAAAAAAAAAATCAAAGAATGTCATATTAATTATAATTATACTAAATAAAACTAACAAAACTATAATATTGAAACTTAAGAGTTGGAACGAGTTTACCGAATTGACGAACAACTTCTTGAAAATTGAATATCGTTGAAGACTCGAATACTGCAATTCACCAACTTCACAATTTTTCACGAAATTGCAATAATAAAGTAAGCAATTATAGAAGAAAATTAGAGAGAGATTGAATTTTGATGGCCAACGGCTAGATTTTAAAAATCTGACCGTTGGTCATTTTTAATTTTTTTTTTAAAAAAAGAAATAGCCGTTGGGGACCGTTTGGCCCGGTTGAACCGGCCCAGGCCCGCCTGCCGGGCCCGGACTTAACGATCCCGGGCTCACAGGCTATTTGGGTTGGACCGGCCCGCTACGAGCTTATGCACCACTAGAGACCGATCTGTTTGGCCCGCGGTACTGGGCCGGTCCCGGACCGGGCCCGGACCACAATACAGCCTTAGTGCCAACTACAAACCTTGCAGAGGAAAAAAAAAACTACAAACCTTGCACATGTGCTAGTAATTGGAAATTTTAGAAGCATTTTATCACTTGAATTTTTTGTATTTTTTTTTTCTCGGTATACTTAGACTATACATATTTATTCATCGACTATTTTCAATTTAAGACATTAAATAAACGGCTATTTGAATTAATTCTTCTTTTATAAGGAGGGGAGGGGATCTTTTTCCTATGTTGATTTATCCTGATTTGTTTAAAGTGTTCAATCATAAAAATAAAAGACTAAATTGAAAAAACATACATTTAAAAGATTATTTTAAATCAATGGTCAAACATAAAAGATTATTTTTGACATATTCTCTGATAGTCGATGATACAATCATATAATCACGGTACAATTGCATTGGACCCCATCCAGTTTTGGACATAATTCTGTAGTTTTCTCGGCGCACCTTTCTCAGTTGACTTTAATTAAATAAGAAATAATTTATTAATATACTGATATTACAGTCCAATTTTTTGAGAAATAATATGTCACATTTGACCTTTGGGAAACAAGTTTGTTAATTTAAACTAAATTTACAGTACACTGACCTAGATTCTCATAGTATTTGACTCACCTTTCAGTATCGAGTGCTACAATGTAATACATCACGTTCAACCATGCATCGTAACTGCCTGGATTATAATATAGTGTTTTATTACACTAGTTAATTTGTTCGCGCTTCGCGCGGTCTTTAAGATTGATTACCTATAATTTTATCGACATCCTCATATCTTTATCAAATAATATCATATATGTATCTCAAGAGCATTCAATGAATTATCAGGAAAATAATACTCTTTAAGCAATTTTATCTTTTGTATATTCTGCAATCGCAACATTATCATTGTACCTTACTAATCTAATTAACTGGGATTTGTATTGGATAAAGCCTTAATAAAATCATCCCTGTCAACTACCAAGAAGTTTTTCACTGCAAATAAAAATTAAACGCAATTTTTCGTTATATATATATATATATATATATATATATATATATATATATATATATGTATATATGATATTACATTAATTTTAAGAATACTAAATATAAAAAGAAATCTACTAACATGTGTTGTGGTATTGGTTGCATGAAAAGTTGGAGATGTTTACGTTAAGAAATGAATTGACCAATGATTTACCTCAAAGACAAAATGAAACATATAATTCCTCTCCAACTATATACTCAAACAACTCATATAATAGTAAAAGACAAATATAAATTTTTTCCTCAAATTTTTAATAGCAAAGTTAAAGTGCCTTTCTCAACTCTTCCCCCAAAATGATACCCCAAACATGGCAAGCAAGTACCTAGACAATTTGTAACATTAAAATATAAAACTGAGAATAGTGTATATCACCAAGTTAATTTCTTTCCTCGTCTCCATGCATATCTTATATTTCAGCGCCTGCACATTTAATAATTTTCATAGAAATCATAATCTCAAAAAATTCAGTCAGAATGAAGGAATATCTTGAAATTGATTTGATATTTGTAAAAGTCATATGACAAATTGAGATTAAATGACATTTACATAAATGAGAGATAGAGGAAATACACAGTGATAAAAGACGGAGTAGATCATGGGATGAAAAGAAGGGTCACGATCGTCGATAAATCAACTTTCATATTACTACATATTATAAGATCAAAACTAAATAATCGTAGTGCATATATAGTTACCTGTTAGCCAAATGCATAAGCTATAATAGCTACAAGAAGACAAAATAAAGCAAAAGTAGAAAGTAATTAACAAATATTTAATTATCTTTTTGCTGAAGCTTTGACCCAAGCTCACAAGAATTCTTCACTGCTAAATATGTTCTTTGTGCAGTATATGACGAGGTAAGTGGTACTGGAGAAATGAGATATAAATTACTTTTCTTACTACTATTATTTTTAAAATAATTACAATCATTGCATGAGCTCTCATTTTTATGGTTTAACTATCACATTCTTTCTCAACATTCATTTTTTTAAAGGCCATAACCTCTAAATAAAGAGGCATGAGCTATATGGGATGTGGACTTTTTAAAATAAGAGAAATGAAAAAATGTAAGAAAATAATAAAAAGATAGAGATAAAAGATATATAGTATTTTTGCACTATGGAATGTGACATATCAACAATTCTATTCCCAGTTTATTCAATACTATAAAATATGTAAGGACGTAGAAAACACTTCCTCAATATTTTTTCTTCCGAGAAAGAAAAAAGATTGTCCATGGTCACACATGAGAGAAATACATTCAACATCAATAAATCAAACATGCATACTGTATTATTTCTTTGATCATCATCTTAAATGCACCACAATTCGCTCTAAAAATTATCTAAATAAACAAAATCGCCTACGAAACTTAACAAATTCACTAAACTAATTATAATTAATCAAAAAGCTTTGGTGAAAAAAGCATAGCAGCCTCACAATTTAAAAAACATATTTGAGAGAATTAGAGAAAAGATAAAAAAAAAAAAAAAGGGTGAAAAGATTGGAATCGTATTTCTATTCTTGAATTCTTCACAGGTGGAGGAGGAATTAAATTGTAAAGGATGAATTTTTATCTTTAAATGTGGTAGTTGAAAAGTCAAAAGATTTGGGTATAAAATTTTGAAACAGTGCACATTTCTATTTCTTAATTATTAGTAATATGAAACTGCAATTAATTTTTTTCTAAACATGATCTTTCTTTTACCATGTAACTGTAATTAATACTTAAATTTTTTAATTATTAGTGAAGGAGCCTGCCTTTTCATTTCGTAACCGTACAAAGGCATAAGTAATTAAGATTTTCAATGAAGGGGTATGACTTTTAGTTTTTAACTATTAAAATAGGAGAAAACCTAAAAAAAAAAAGAAAAAAAAAAGAGGAAAAAGATAAATATGATTCCTAGCATTTGAGACATACCACATCAACTTTCTCATTCCCACAATTATATATAGATATATAGATTGTTGTCACAATATGGCATAAAATTTTGAAGCTTTCCTAGCATTATTATATTTTCATCGCGTATCCTGTTAAAGTTATTACTTCTAGGATGAAATTCATTGTAAATTATTCAAAAAGTCTTGTCCACGATCAAATCATCTTCCATGTTTCAGTTTTAGCATCTAGCATATTTACTGGAAATCGAAAAAGAGGAACTCAAAATAACAAAATTGAACAAATATCACCAAGTATAGCATTTCCCTATCTCAGAACCTTTTTAAGCAAAAGGACAAATAAGCAAACTCTTCTTATAGCATGTAAGATGATGTCCAGTCCTATACACCATGGGGCTCAGTGTTCCTGTTGCAAATTGAAGAGAACCATTTCAATGTCAGTTTCTGCCTAGTGATTCAGTGATCCTGTAGTTGGAAAAGAACAATTTGGACTGATATATCAAATAGATGTTTAGACAAGAACTAAGCACTGATCATTCCACCTACCTAGTTAGAATTTGGGTCATCAGCAATAGAGCTGGTGCAAATTGTAATCCAGTTGACTACCCCAACCTGTCAGTTGGATTTCTTTCTTCTTGATGCTACCTCTGCAGCCCAAGCTTTGCCCACGTCCGTTTGGAACTTTCCTGCAGACATGTTATGCGTTGTCAAAGATTGCATCTTTTTACCAAAGGTAAGCACGGGCTATTATCAAAATCGATCCATACAAAAGAAGAATAAGAAGAATATAACAGCTTCAAGTCTCAAAGCAAGGAAATTCTCCACTTTATTAAACTAGTAACATCATCATTACGATGACTTTCGACTACCAAACTTCTGGATTTAAATTTCTCTCTTGTAACTACTCAAGTTAAATGTGGTTACAGTCAAAAGGTAACCTGATTAAACCCTAGCATAGCACAAGTGACTCAATTCATCAGACTGAAAACAAGAGAATATAATGAGTATATCTTTCATGCCCTTTGTCTTTTGGTTATCAGACAATCCTTTCCAAGAGAATCTATGCTACATAGGTCTCCTCAATCTTTTGGTTATCAGACAATCCTTTCCAAGAGAACCTAAATCCACCGGTGCAGACTGCAGACAACTCTACTGCATATGCAAACTCTACGAACTTAAATTCTCCAAAGAACAGAATTCAAATCTAGTTACAAGATACTCATGATCAGGAGGGGAAGGAGGGGGGACTATCCACAAAACTTCAATACCAACTTCGAACAACTTGAATGTTCCAATAAAATGGCAATATTATGTCATTCACTAATCATCTAACAAATTCAGATGTAAATGTCCAGAGTTCAGACAATTGAATGGTATTCTGAATTCCAAGCTCTAGAATGCAGCGTTTGGTCGTCTATACGAGGAATTAGGGGGAAAAGGCGAGGATAGGAAGTTGTTTCGACTGGCTAAGGCGAGGGAGAGGAAGGCGAGGGACCTGGATCAAGTAAGGTGCATGAAACACGAGGACGGTAGAGTATTGATGGGGGAGTCCCAGATTAAGCAGAGATGGCAGACGTACTTTCATGGCCTTCTAAATGAGGAGGGGGACCGAGATATAGTGCTAGGGGATTTGGGGCATTCGGAGAGTCTCCGAGACTTTAGGTATTGCAGGCACATTAAGGTAGAGGTCGTACGGGCTTTGCGTAAGATGAGTAGGGGTAGAGCGCCCGGGCCAGACAAAATTCCGGTTGAGTTTTGGAAGTGTGTGGGTAGAGCAGGCTTGGAATGTCTGACTGGGCTGTTCAATGTAATTTTTAGGACGAAAATGATGCCGGATGAGTGGAGGTGGAGTATAGTGGTACCGTTGTACAAGAACAAAGGTGATATCCAGTGTTGTAACAATTATAGGGGTATCAAGTTACTAAGCCACACCATGAAAGTTTGGAAGAGGGTGGTGGAGGTGAGGGTGAGGAAGACGGTGTCTATATCAGACAACCAGTTTGGGTTCATGCCAGGTCGCTCAACTACGGAAGCTATCCATCCACCTTATTAGGAGGTTGGTAGAACAGTACAGGGATAAGAAGAAGGATCTGCACATGGTGTTTATTGACTTGGAGAAAGAGTATGACAAGGTCCCTAGGGAGGTGCTCTGGAGATGTCTTGAGGCAAAGAGTGAGCCGGTAGCTTACATCAGAGCGATCAAAGACATGTATGATGGACTAAGACTAAGGTTAGGATTGTGGGAGGCGACTCGGAGCATTTCCCGGTTGTTATGGGGTTACATCAAAGCTCTGCGCTTAGCCCGTTCTTATTTGCCTTGGTGATGGATGTACTGACACACCATATTCAAGGGGATGTGCCATGGTGTATGTTATTTGCTGATGACATAGTTCTAATTGATGAGACGCGACACGGTGTTAGCGAGAGGTTGGAAGTTTGAAGACAAGCCCTCGAGTCTAAGGGTTTCAAGTTGAGCAGGTCTAAGATAGAGTACCTGGAGTGCAAGTTTAGCGCTGAGTCGAGCGAAGTAGGCAGAAGGATGTGAGGTTTGGATCACAGGTCATTCCCAATAGAGGGATGACGTCACTCCAGGTACGGTTATTCAGGGGGACAGAGAGATCGATGAGGACGTCACTCACCATATAGGGGCGGGCTAGATGAAATGGAGGCTAGCATCTGGAGTCTTGTGGGACAAGAAAGTGTCACCGATACTCGAAGGTAAGTTTTATAAAGTTGTGGTTAGACCGGCCATGTTGTATGAGGTAGAGTGTTGGCCGGTTAAGAACTCTCATATCCAGAAGATAAAGGTAGCAGAAATGAGGATGTTGAGGTGAATGTGCGGGCACACTAGGATAGATAAGATTAACAATGAAGATATTAGGGAGAAGGTGGGTGTGGCCCCTGTGGATGACAAGATGCGGGAAGTGAGGCTCGGATGGTTCGGGCACGTGTGGAAGAGAAGCCTTGATGCTCCGGTGAGGAGGTGTGAGCGGTTGGCTGTGGTGGGTACGAGAAGAGGTAGAGTGCAGCCTAAGAAGTACTGGGGACTGGGGAGAGGTGATCGGGCTGGACATGGCACGACCGCAGATTTCCGAGGACATGGCCCATGATAGGAAGGTCTGGAGGTCAAGCATTAGGGTTGTAGGCTGGGGGTAGTCGATCTTTTCCTACTTCATACCGGGGGTGAGGCGGGGTTGGATAGGGTTGATCTTAGACGACTTGTGGTTAATGTTGAGTCCACACTATCCTTTCTGTTTTTCATAGCCACGGGCCTTAATTACTGGTTACTATTATTGCATGTCATCTATTTTTTGGTTTTTATGCTTTTGTTACTATTTTTACGGTTTCTACAGACGTTACTGATGAATTGTCTCTTCTTGTTTTATTTCCGTCTTCCTAAGCCGAGGGTCTATCGGAAACAACCTCTCTGCCCCATCGGAAACAGCCTCTCTACTGGGGTAAGGTCTGCGTACACACTACCCTCCCCAGACCCCACTTTGTGGGATTTTACTGGGTCGTTGTTGTTGTTGTAAGCTCAATAGTTAACCACTGACTTGGCAATCTAAGACAGGATGCATGATCAGGTTACAACGGAAAGACAATAGTAGGTAATGATGGGAAAGGGTCTAGGTCTAAAGTACACGCAAGGCAGCCCAAAAAATAGAATGACTAGAATTTAAAACTCAGACTTGAACTGCGGTTAAATAATAAAAATGTTAAACATGGCACCTGCAGTTGACTGGAAAAATTCCTCCAAATCCTTCCCCTGCTCTGCATGACAGAAAAAGTAGCATTAGTTTGAAGGCAACTTCTCATGGCAGAGGGACTAGTCCATATGTCAAGAGACAAACAGCTTATGCAGCCACACATCAGTCTGTATTTATTACAATGTGAACACCTTGAAATTTGTTTTTGAAAGATTAGTAATGCACATCTTAAAGAGTATAAATTGCATCAGGTACATATAAACTAGAAAATAAATTGACATTATTTGAATGTTAGGATCTGTGTGTTTTGATTTAATTCTCAAGATAGCTTTTACAATGTAACAGCACAATCACTAAATGCCAAGGATATCACCATGATGTGTATATTTCTCATGCTGAAGGATGCAGTATGAAAACTAAGTTCAGAAAATACAAAAATACACACAAACTAGGAGAATTTTGAGAAATGTGACTGTCGATATTGATTGATTTTTCCTCAAAACCTGTATAATATGGGACCTTTTGTTTTTTTCTTTTCTTTTGTGTGTGTGTGTGTGTGGNCGCGGTCTTATATATTCCATGACATTTCTATGGCAATACGAGCATGTTACTTAGGGTAAAATGGAAAATTTTGAGTTTAAAGTAAAAGAGTTACAAAATATATGAAGGTGTCATTCTCTTTCGGAGAGACCAAAAAAGAGTTTCATATAAAATAAAACAGAAGGAGTACTATATATCACGGGTACATCCGAAATCCAAGGGGGAAAAAAGAGAAACAGGAAGTTACCATTTTCATATTCCAATGCCTGAAGTATCATCTCCACCTGAAAGGAAACAACATATCAGTCTAGCAGAGAGCAGTGCATTAAGCTGACAAAAGTGATCACTCTCCATAGATAGCATCACCTCATGGCAACAGAATGAATATCCTCTTCTTCTTTTTTAAATAAGGTAAGAGAATGGGTGTTCCAAAACTAGCTTTAAGCTTCTTGGAGGCTGAAATACTAGAGAAAAGTCTGGCACTATAAAGTTTTTTAAAGAGGAGAAGCGTGCTACTTGAGAAAGGAAAAATGTGAAGAGTTCTAGGTGTTTAAACAATAAACAGTCAACCATGCATAGCAACTCTTTATCATGAACAAGACTCTTACTAAACAATCAAGTCTCAATGCTAACAGACTAACAGAGTACCAATCAAAAAAAAGCCTGAATGCTAATTGAGTTTGTCCTGAACATCTTTTATGCATATTGGCAAACAAGATGTAGTGACAGACATGGCGTTAAAAAAGAAGACAAGATACAACAATGAGTTAACTTATATGTCTACCAAATCACGTTTGGATGCTAATTGAGTTTGCCCTGAACATTTTCTGTGCATATTGGAAAACAAGATGCAGTGACGAACAAGGCGTTAAGAGAGGAAGATAAGATACAATGATGAGTAAACTTAAATGTTTATCCCTATGTAAATTAAACTGAACACGTCAGCATAAACACCCATATAGATGGGACATATTCAAACTTGGGTAACATACAATACCTTATCAAAGTCCTTTACAACTTTGGCTTCTAAAGAAGAATTTTCTTCATATTCCATCCACAAGTCACTGATCTCCTTGGCTGCAATTGCCCAACGGTAAATAATAAACAAGAGAATAGATGAAAGCTCAATCTTTAGATGCACGAGCTAGTTGGCAAAAAACTCAATGGAGAAGAGAAGCAATACCTCGGGGTCCTCCACCTAAAAGTTTACACATGTCTTCTAGTGCTGCTCGCTCTCGTCTGCTCTTTTCATCTTTTGAAATTCCATCAGCAGGAGTAATATCTCCAACAATTGCTGTTCAGTAGAAACACAAGAAAATATTTGACAAAGAATGTTAAATAAGAAGCTACCAAATTTTCCAAATCAAAGGCCCATAGGATTAGAAGACCCAAGAGATAGACGATTGTGTTGCCAAGTCTATACAAGACATTGGTTAGTAGGAAGATCATTGGATGAAAGTGAACAATGTCTTCTGAAAGTTTAACCTCATTTTCACAGCTTTACACCGAGAAAAATATTTTAAGTGAAAACGATTGATGATGCGAATACAGACAAAATTCGATGTTCATGTTCTAATGGTTTCTTTCTGTTCTTTCCATTTAATAAAGCTTGTAGATCAATAGTCAATGTCATTATCCAAGGAAGTAATACCAAAAGGCAAACTTGAAATATTCTTCCAGTTCCAGAGTATAAGATTTGACAAGCTTATGCGTCTATAAGTAATCCTCCATTTCTTATACCCTATCTTCGACTCTTAATTAAATCTTGTATCATAAAGCTCGTAATAGCACGAAATAATTAATGACACATGTCACAATTAAATAAGAGAAGAATTCCAAAAAGAAAAAGAAATTTTCATGGGAAGATGCTATCAGCCTATTTCATGTAATAGCCATAAAAGAAAAGAAAATAGAAATGAACAATCATAAATGAGAGCCTCACCTTCTGCAATGTCATGCACAATTGCCATCTTTACACACCTAAATTTGGAAGAAAAAGAAGAAGAAGCATGCATCATCCTCAAAAACAATCCACACATTTGGTGGAAACACAAATACAGGAATGTACATGTACTGATAAAACAAATGATTATTATTAAAACTGCTTACTTGTCACGATCAACACCAGGAAGGTCAGCAGCAATAAGAGCCATCACTCCCATACGGTACATGTGATCAGCTATAGACTCTGGAGCATTAACCCCTCTACGTACCCAACCTTCCCTCTTTGTTGTCTGATCACGATTCCAAACAGGAAAGTTTAGCTCAGAATACACAAAAGATCACATGGAAAGAGATAAGATAACAGCGTCAAAAGAATGGTTACATGAAGTTATGAACATAAAAGAGCTAGTATAGGCTGATAGCACAAGGCTGTCATATATTTTAAGAGAAATACATAACACTACTTTAAAAAATACTAAGCAGTTTAATAACTTAAGAGCTTCACCACAAATGACATTGGCTTGTAAGCAAAAGTATACTTTACGCGTTAACATAATTCTAAAAAATATAAACAAAGCATAAACTAGACAGCATAAAATGGATTAGTTACTGGTATGCAATCTTTCAGACCCTAATAGACATGACAAGGATTAAATTTAGGATATTAGTTATACACACTGATAGTGAAACAATTTTGTCTACACCATCCTTATAATTTAACCTGTTATAATAGCACTTAACATTTATTCAAGGTTACCAATCAATGCTATTAAATAGAGTTACGTGCAATTACATCTAAGGTGACATGATCGTGTAAATATAGTTTACACCTTCACAATGTTATTATTAAATAGAGTTACGTGCAATTACCTTTAAAGTAACCATATAGTCTAAATATATTTTACATCGTCAGTTCATAGAGCCTAAACACATTCATTCAACGCGATACAACGAGTGTTATGATGATAGGCTATAATTACGTATTTTAGTCGATTATTACACTCTAATTTACTGCACTTTAGTTGAGTTTGCGCTTTAATCGCTAATGTTTTGCACTAACGATGTGTTTTATGCCTTGTAGGAGTGATTCCGAGCTATATAGATGTTATGGAATGAATTCAAGTGATTTGGAGCTTTGAAGTCTGAGTAAAAGCCCAAGGAATTAAGTCGGGATCGTGTCAGGGGTCAACTTTGATAGTTAAGAATAAACGAAGACTCGAGAGGGCATATTGCGCACTGTCTAGTAAAATACACATAACTTTTTTCTCAGAACTCCATTTTGGCTCCACAATATATGGTTGGAAACCTAACTCAAAGGGCTACAACTTTCATGTTTTACGTTTTTCCGAATTCTAAACGGAACAAGGCGAAACGCGCGAGATTTGAGCCAACACGAACGAAACCGGGAAAAAGGGCCAGTTGGGTGCCACAGGCCGTGCCTAGCGCCACCTGTGGCGCCAAAAACAGTATGCACAAATAATGGGGCGCCGTGGAGGGCGCCTGGCGCCGGGCTGGGCGCTGGTGACGTGAAATGTGTCCTATTTTGCCCGGGACAAGTTTATTTCGGCCCTAAACCTGCCCAACTGATATAAAAGCAAGACTAAACCTATTTTTGAGGAAGGAGACGCCACTTTGGAGTAGAGATACACACGGGATCGTGAGGAAGCGAAGAATTCTCAGTTTTCTTCATCTTTTTCTAGTATTTCCAATTGATTTAACACTTATGCAATTGTTTGATTACATCATGAGTGGTTAAACACCCATTGTTCTGGGGTTGTGATTTAGCCATGAATATTGTTGTTTGATATTAGCTTGACCTTGATTATAATTCACCAATATATGGTTGTTTCTTCAATTCTGCGTTTAATTGCTTAATTGTCTGGCCAGCAGTTAGGTTCTATTTACTATCTATGCTATGCTTGGGAAAGCCGTGTTTAGATTAGAGAAGAATTGAAGAGAGCATGATCTTAACCCTTAGGGGGAGCGGATTTGTGGTTAGGATAGGAATATACCTAGTCACCGTGCTTAATTAAATATCGTGATCTTAATGCGTTCTTAATAGATTGATTTCATAGGAATATAGGCGTTAATCTATTGAGAATAGGTGAGTAGTACTTCGGGAGAAGGCTATGAGAGCATTTATCGATTAATTAGCAACCATGAGTGAATTATATGAAAGGGAGAGTTAATTAGAACACAATACGAATGGTGAATCGATCACAACCTTGGAATATTTGCCTCTACTGAATACACAACAATCAACTCGTTACTTGATAATTTAGTTATTATTTAGAATCGTAGTATCATATAATCATATTATTGGACTTTGTTTTTAGCTGGATTGAATAACAATTTTAGCGAATTAGTGAGTAGTTTACACAAGTCTCTGTGGGTTCAACACTCAACTTATCATTACATTATATTACTTGTACGACCACGTATACTTGCGTGTGCGTTTGGGAGCAACAAGTTTTTGGCGCCGTTGCCGGGGACTTGAATATTAGCTACTTGCTAGTTTTTGCTTTAATTGTTTATTTAGTCTAGTCTAACGTTACTTGATTGTTGCTCAGATCTCAGGAACTTTGATTGAATGCGTAGGGTCAGAAGCCAGGACCGACTTCAAGGCTTTGATCCTGAACCTGAGAGAACATTTCACAGGAGGTTGAGGGAAGCAAGGGACACGAATAATATTCAAGCACTTGTTCAATTTCCTGTGGACATAGCAGAGGAGCAACCCATGGCTGTTCAGGAGGTGGCGATGCCCAGCATTGCTAATGTCACCTCCAGTATAGTGAAACCCAGGATCACTGGGCACTTTGAGCTGAAACAGAGCATGATCCAGTTACTTCATGCAAACGGGCAATTTATGGGTCTTCCACACGAGGATCCACAGCAGCATATTCTGAACTTCTTGGAGATTAGTGATACTTATATCACTAACGGGGTCACTCCAGATTATGTGAGGCTCACACTTTTTCCATTCTCTCTGTTGGGCGAGGCTAAGCGATGGCTAAAGGCAGAACCAACTAATTCCATTACATCACGGAATGATTTCGCAAGAAAATTTCTGGCAAGGTTCTTTCCTTCAGGCAAAACTGCAAAGATCAGAAGTGAGATAGTGGCCTTCAAACAAAAAGCGGGAGAATCTTTGTACTCAGCTTGGGAAAGGTTCAAGGGGCTACTCAGAGACTGTCCTCATCACATTCAGACGAATGAAGTGTTAGCTCACACTTTCATAGAAGGGCTACATGCTGAAACAAAGATCGTGGTAGATGCTGCAGCTGGGGGTCAAGTGTTGGAGAAAAGCTTTGACGAGATATATGCATTATTGAACAAATTCTCCAAGAGCAATCCGGATTGGCAAGGAGAGATGGGCAAACACACAGTGCAAAAGTCTGCAGGGGTTCTTGAGTTAGATGTCTTCTCAGCATTATCAGCGCAGATTTCTACACTGACCAATCAAGTCAACCAGATGAACTTGAGTATCAACAAGCAACAAGCCCAACCAGTGCAACAAATTCAAATATTTTGTGAAGTATGTGGAGAGGGTCACATGAGCAATCTATGCCCAGCAAATCCAGAGTCTGTATACTTTGTGGGTAATGCAAATCGAGGCCAAACAAATCAGTATGAGGACACTTACAATCTCAACTGGAGGAACCACTCACACTTCTCTTGGGGTGGAAACCAGGGCACTCAGAATCAATACAGGCCTCAAGCACCTCAACAACAATATAGACCACCTCAAGTTGAACAACAAGCGAGTCCTACAAGTCACCTTGAAGACATGTTGAAAAAAGTGATGGCTGAACAGCAAGCCCTCGCCACAACAGTGAGAAATTTGGAGCGTCCAATGAGACAGCTTGCTAGTGCTCAAAACACTAGACAAGCTGGAGCTCTTCCAAGTGATACTGAGCCCAATCCTAAAGCTCAAGTCAATGCAGTTACCTTGAGAAATGGAAGAGCACTAGAAGAAATTCCAAAGAAAAAGAAGAATACAGATCATCCTGAAGGAGAATTAGCTCCCAAGCTAGTTGAGGGGAATGCGAAAGATGATGAAGGACCCGAGCCAGTAATTGAGACTAGGCCACCGCCTCCGTTTCCACAAAGACTGCAAAAGCAAAAAAGATGATGCCAAGTACAAGAAATTCCTAGATATTTTGAGCCAAGTGAGTGTGAATCTGCCTTTGGTGGAAATTTTGCAGGAAGTGCCTAAGTATGCAATGTATCTCAGAGATATTGTGGCAAACAAACGAAGACATGCAGAGTTTGAAACAGTTGCACTTACTGAAGAGTGCAGTGCCAGAGTTTAGAGTAAACTTCCTCCTAAGTTGAAGGATCCTGGGAGTTTCACAATTCCTTTGTCTCTTGGAAAACAAGAAGTTGGTAGAGCCTTGTGTGATTTAGGGGCCAGTACAAATTTGATGTCATCCTCTTTGTTCAAGCAACTCGGACTGGGGTCACTTAGACCTACTACAATCACTTTACAGCTAGCAGATAGGTCACTAGTCATGCCCGAAGGAATTATTGAGGATGTGTTAGTTCGAGTGGGAAAGTTTATTCTTCCTGCTGATTTTATTGTTCTTGATTACGAGGCAGATGAGGAAGTGCCCATTATTTTGGGGCGACCATTCTTAGCTACTGGTGGAGCAATTATTGATGTGAGAGCAGGGAAGTTAAAAATGAGAGTTGACGATGAGGAGGTCACTTTTAATGTGTACAAAGCACTTAAGCTTCCTAAGCATTATGAGGACTTGTGCATGATTACTGCGGTAGAATCGAAGGGGATAAAGCAGAGTCTTTATGTGAATTATAGTGATCCAGATGGGACAACTGAGTTAAAGGAGGTCGTGTTTCCAGCTGAGCGTGTAAAGATGATTGAGAAAAGAGCCAGAGATGAAAGAGGAGACCTTCTGAGAGCGCGCAAAAAGGCTAGAATTCATGGGAGAAAGAAGAAGAGAAAGCGCCCAACCTGAGCAGAGTAGCAGAGTCGTGCCACGACTATAAATAAGGCGCTTGTTGGGAGGCAACCCAACCTATGTATCTTTTATCTATTGATTATTTCTTTTTACTATGTTTTGTGTTTTTATTTTATTTTTGCAGAGTAGGGAAAGTCTGAGTACCCAAAGTTGAAGCTGAGGAGCATGTTTGAGCTTAAGTGTGGGGTCGTCCCGACCCTTAATATTGAGGATCATGTCCAAGCTAGGCCTGAGAGGGTCTCAGGGAGTATTTCTCACCCTTGTTTTAATATTTCTCTATGATCATGCATCGAGGACTATGCATAATATAAGTGTGGGGTGGGAAACTACTTTCTGGAGTATAATTGTCTTTCTTTTATAACTCGTAGTAGACATAGTCTAGGTTCAAAAAATAAAAAAATAAAAAAAGTTGAAAAAGCTCGGACTGTTCCCGACGATGGATCTTTTGGACAATTTTCTTGAGGGATTAAAGTCCGATTTAAAAACACCAAAAAGTTTTTTTTTATGTGTCATTTTATTTTCTTAGAATAGCTAGGTAGTATTCCTTGGTTTTTCTTTGGGCACCGGTTCTTTTCCAAGGATGTAGCTCGAACCGGGCACTTTAATTTCTTTTTAGGAGTAGTGTAGGAAGAAACTGAGTCATTCTGAGATACTCATTGACATGGATTGATGCTGGCACATTAGGCTATGACATACATTCTGTTTTCCCGTGTATTTGGTTTGACTTGTGAAGCCTAAGTAAAGTAAATAGCCTATTTTGTGACGCCGTTTCTCAGTTGTCTGACTTGTATGCTGCATAGTGCAATTGTTGCTTAAATTTCTCATTTATTTGTGCTTGCTTGACTTGAGAGTTGAACAGAACCGTCTTGATTGAGTCATGTGCAACGTGTGTGTGAGGATTCGTGATTTTCTGTGCTATCCTATGTAGTCTAGAACTTGTCCCGTGTGTTAATTGAAGCGAAATGGTGAGTTGTTCTAATCTAGGAGATGACGTAGGCATTTTTCTTGCTTGATCATAGATGTGCTTGTCACGTAAAAATAAAATTTTCCGTTGCTAGCCCCTTTGAGCCTATAGACCTTTCTTTTGGCACCCACATACAAGCCATACCCCTATTTTATTCTTAATTTGATATTGATTGAACCTTTACCTCCTAAGGCACTTAGTCGCTAAAAGAAGTAAGGTGAGATATTGGAGAGTAGTTTTCGAGTGGAAACATGGAAGGGCTCGTTGATGCACTAAAGTTAAAATCAAAAGTCACTAGCCGATGAACTTTAATATATGGAGTGTGAAGAAAAAAAAGAGAGAGAAAGGAAAAGAAAAATTGCAAGAAAAGAGAGAAAAAAAATATGATAGTTCAAATAATGTAGAAAAATACACACCTTCAATCCTTATTGATTTGTGCTAGTGACAAAATAGAGAAGTGTTTAAGTGAAAAGAGGGCTATGTTGTATATGGCAAGTGATTTGGTTGAGAAGAATATGTGCTTG